CGTTCAGTAAAAAGGCCGGAAGAGGAATCCTTTCCATAATTATATAGTCACAAAGGAAATGAAAATGTCCTCTAACTAAGCCTAAAGAAAATGCCAGATGATGGCTAATAAAAGTGTGACAAAAATTGCATCAAGTCGAAATAAGCAGTAATGTGGTTAGGGTTTGAGTTAATCATTTCAGTTAGGAATTAAGGAACAAAAGATGACCACATTTATATGATAAAAGAGTACATCTAATTTGTACTGAGCTTTACGAAAATAGACCTACCTCCAGTTTTCTTGCTTTCTCTGGATCCTCCTCTGCCATTATGCGTTCTTTGGCAGCACGGCGTTTCTCATCTTTACGAGACTGTGCGGCCTCCTGACGTTGATTGTGCAGCAATTGTCTTAATCGTGAGTCGTAAGCGCGTTGTCGATTACGCTCTGACCTCAATTTGGCCTTCGTTACATGAGAAAAGAAGGTAGATAAGAAAAGGACCTCAATAGAATGGAATTTTAAATTATTTTCGAAAATGTAAACAGGAAAAAAATGATACTAAAACATTTGAGTAAGCAAGATTAATTTAGAAGTGGGTTGACCTCGTTGTCGCAACTTGGTCTTGGTCAAGGAAATTGCCTTCACTTGCTTATTTGATAGGTTGTAACTCTGTACTCATAAGTTCTGTGACCTTAAGAGACCCTACCATTCGGATAAGGTTAGTGAGCATATTCATCAGGCTTCTATGCAGAAACTGAGTGAGACCTATGATACAGAACGCAAAAAGTTGTTTAAGTTTATTGTTATTAAGTCAAAGCTCCGGCGTGATTTGGCCAGGATACTGGCCCCGGAAGATTTTCCAAAACTCCAGAGTATGGCAGACAGGAAATCACGTAGGATTTCTGACTTAATAACCAAACGGCATGACGATAAGTTGCGTAAGTTTGGGATTTTTAGACAGCCTTAGTTAAGGAGAGTACGCCCAGTTGAAGTAGCTTCCGAGGTGACAACACCTACTCATCAGCACGAGGATAGGAAGAAACTACTAAACTTGTCATCAATTCGTCTTAATCCCGAAACAACCGCATTCCTGAAAAAAGGACTCAATTTTTTAATTCAACATAACAGATGCATTCTAGAAGACATCTTGGTGGAGGTCATCAATATCGCTAAAAGGTTCCATGAGGAGACAAAACGGGAAATGTAGATGAAACTAATTCCAAAGAGCTTGACATATCAGGAGTCTACGCACGAGAATAGATTTTTTGGGATACGCAAAACCCAGGAAAAAATAGACAATTAGTCCTTCAGGCGAACAAAGGAGCTACAGTGATAATGGACAAAAAACAATATAACGAGAAGATGGAAGATATTCTACAAGACAGGACCACATATCG